AGCTGCTATTATATTCAAGCTAAGAACTCTGGAGGAATGATGAGACTATCGATATAGTATAGGTATGTACGGCATGGTCAAGTTTATGTCAAGACCAAAACACGCGTCAAGATTTCATTCATCAATTGCGAGTCTGACCTGGCTGATCTTGAGGCGTCATTGCGCGTCATCCCATGCGCCTGAAGCTCCGCCTCTTGTCTCTATCTTATTGCCAGTCTCTATCACTTCTACTGTGGCTGAGTTTATCTATCCTAGTCTGTGATTCTCAAGTGTCAGATGACAATGTTGATACCATTCGTCCCTTGATATTTTCTGAATGACCTGATTGACCAATGATTCCTTGTTGAAAGATAAGATCCTTCACATGCGATATGTTCATGAGCATTTCCTTGTATTAGCCTTTCCTGTTTATCAAGTCACGCCCTTGGTGACGTCAATTAGCGTAGCTATATGAGCTCTGACCAGACCAGGAAACTCAGTCTTGGGCCGAGAACAGTCGTGTGTACGCCCTTACTCCTGTCCGTATCCATCAGGGGCCGGATTATCAAAACTTCGTAACTTTTTGTACTTACGACAAAAAACTTCTGTGGTACGTAAATACACCCTAATTTTGGCATTATCAAAACTTTCGTACACAAGTCTTAGCTAAAAGCCTAAATTTTTTCCCGCGCAAATGTTTTTATAATACCACCGCTAGTATTACGTTGTCATAGCAACGCCACTCGTAAGTCGATTATGCGTACTTACGAAGTTTTGATAATATGGCCCCAGGGCAGTAAGCCTAAATTAATGTCAGAGTAGAAGATACACTCTAGACTTACCCATACTTCAACTGGACGCCGAAGACATCAGTGTTAAAGCTCCAACTTATAATCTGATTATCCTAAACTGTAAGCCGAAATATTCTCACTAAGTATAAGTATCTAATCTGTACTTAACTCGTGCTTCACTTATCCTCATTCAAGTCAAGGCACCAGAACCTGCCTCAGGTAATTAATAACTAATTAGATACGCCTAAAACGTGTATAGAAAAGCACTGCGTGCGTACGAAACACTACATCGTACACAAGAAGTCATCTCTTTTTTGCTATTATTGAATACCTTGAATCTGTTGAATTACATGTGGTCAGCTAGATGTAACTCCTTTCACGGTTCATGAAATCCCTTACCATTCTATGTTCCTTATATTGCTGCCATATAAGTTATGAAATCGGCTAGGATCATGATACAGACCGACGAGATCAATTAGATTAGTTAGAGTATGATTACCTCAGTGTCTTGTATGTTCGAGTTAAGCAGCTCCCCTCTGGAACTGTGTTCATTAAACTTATTATCATTCTATGATCTCAGTGTTTTGTATGTTCGGTTTAAGCAGCTATCTTCTGGAACTGTGTTCATCAAACTAATTATCATTCCATAAACTCAGTGTTCTATATGTTCGATTTAAGCAGCCCCTTCTGGGACAGTGTTCATTAAACTAATTATCATTCTATGATATTAATGATTTGTATGTTTGCACTCTGATAGAATCCTGTGCGTGCAGGTTTCAAGGCCGAAATATAAGGAAACACGGATCAAGTCTGAACTTCATTCCACCTTATTGAAATCGCGCGTCGCAACTCCCGAACTAAGCTGATTTACTTTAGGAGCGTATCAGATGTTAAGAAGGTAAGCTGGAATACTAAATAAGTATTCCGGAAATGAAAGAAAGTTGTAGCGGTTAGGGGTAGTGAGGATGAGTGATAGCCATTCCTCGTATCGGCCTGTATGTATTTTAATCGCCTTAAGTACAATAACCCGTATATGAGGTTCTAAGTTATTAAATATGAACATTTCATGGAAAATACAGGGTAGTAGCGCAAAAAAGTGCATGGATGTAGTAAGAGCTTATGAGCTACGCCACCATTCTCTTGAGCAAAAACATCATCTATTCGCCATCAGTAACTTCAGCTACTTCCATACTTCGGCCATGCGTCCGAAGTTATGTCAAGAGAATTAAAAGATTTGTTTATGAAATACTTTCCGGACATTAATCTTCGTATGTTACTGCTTAACAATTTCAAAATAGGTTCGTTTTAGGTACAAAGATATCCTCCCTTCTCACATGCGATCGTCCCTAGTTTATAAATTTAGTTGTGCACGATGTGCATCTGCGTACGTCGGAATGACGGCACGCAACCTTTACACTAGGGTCGCTGAGCATAAAGGGAGGAGTTATAGGACTGGGCAGTTACTATCGCGCCCTCCTCATTCGGCTGTGCGCACTCACGCCGAACAGTGCAACGTTCCGGTGTCCGACACTGACTTTAAGATTTTAGTTTATAGTTCTGGTGCTTCCGATCTGCGCATTTTGGAATCATTATATATTATTAAAGAGAAACCTAGTTTGAATGCTGCCTACAGTTCTTATCCATTAGAAATTTAGAATAGATAGGTATTTCTTTATTATTCTGACCTTTGCCTGTAAATTTAGGTTTTAACTTCTGTTGTTTTTTTGTTTTTTTCTTATGACTCCAAACTTTATTATTCTTCTGACTATTTGTGTTCTAGATTTATCGAAATGACGATGGAGCTGGTCTCCGAAACGTTTTCAATAGAGAAATGCTGAATTTTTGTGGAGTTTTCTTCGCTTTTAAATTTTTAGTGAATCTGCGATTCAAGCAATCTAGTTACATTATTACAGTATGTATTCATGTCACCGAGTATCAAAGTGACTAAATAACATTAATTTTGCACATTTGGGTGGAATATTCTACTTTGCATTGACTGCTGTAATACTAAGTTCACATATTTTTTGTTTCCGTACATAATTTACAAGTTAAAATGCAGGAGTAGTCATTGAAAGAGAGTTGAATAATTAGTATAAAACTCAGAACGCAATCGCATTAATGATTGGACTTGGAGCGAACCACCTTGTGCAAAAACGCCTTATATGAACTATCGTACCACGCCGGTTTGTACATCTTGGACAAATTTATGGCCGGACTCGCGCCCCTAATGCTCACGTCTTCCCTTCCCCTACCTCCCGCCTATACTGAATTGAGAAAAAATATTGAAGAACAATATCCTCTCTAGAATTGAGAATAGTCTACGCGTTCAATGTGTTAACCGATTGAACACTTTAAAGAGTCTAGGTATTAAAGTAATAGAAGATTAAAGCCTTTGATTTGTTTTGAAGAAGCAATTATTCAGAAAGCTATTTCATATACATGCATGTGCGTCACACCTCAAGCTAGCTATTTACATACCAAGAGATCAATACTACAACATCCTATACGTAACTGTTCAATTGAACCAATTGAGTAGTACAATTTCATCTAAGTTAGGTCATCATTTCTATCTGATTTTTAATTAACAGATCTTCGAATAATGAGGAGAGGTCAATAATAGACGAACATGCCACGTTTATAAAAAAAATACTGACTCGAAATGTTACAAAAAAGGAAAACGTCTCGTCAACTCAGAGGATTTCTCGGGAAGTTGGAAACAGCACCGACGCTTCGATTCAAATTTGACGCGTCTTGTATAGTTGGAGGACGCTTCAGCAGTTTCACGCCCATTTTTACAATAATAATGGGCTTTTCATGTATAATTATACAATTATATTTAAAATTATTGTGGTTAAGTCAGAGTATGAACGGAGAACATTTTTTAAAGATCAGCTAACCTGTGTTGTATTAAATTAGGAAACTTGTGGGTGACTGCGAACGCCATTGCAAACGTGAATCCAAAGCTTTTTATGGGCCTGACAGAATTCAAGTGTGAAAAATCGAGTGCCTGACTGCTCTATTGTAACGATTGCAATGAATATTTAATTGATTCATCATTAATTAGCTGCCAATCTGTTTTATTAATCTCATATTCACCATGCTTGCCTGACATTATTTTCCCTCAGTGGAGTTTGGAGTCTGCTTGATTAAGTCATTCAAGTGGTTATACGCTAATGAAGTAAATGATGTTTAGTAGCCTACAATTCAATAGGTTTTGCTAGACAGATCCAGTCTGAATATCCACAACAATGGAATTTAATTAAAGTTATTCACCAAGTGGATCTAGATGTGCTGATGTCATGATTTAACTGGAGCAGAATTTATTATTTCTTTCGGTTTGCTCGCTATTTTTTATATATTTTATGACAACCTATTCTTATATTAGCAGTTATCGACCGATTAACAGAGTATAATTCAGTTTTTGGTGCATGTCAGATCCGTCAAATTAATGTGAGTAATAAATGTTTGACCAGGGTGTAATTTGTCTAAATGTGATAATGTTAACAGCAGACCAGTTTCTTGCTCAAGCCAATCTAAGGCAGTATAGCACTCGAGATTACTAATATTGCTAAAACATTATGAGAAACTGATTTTGCTTTTAGGACATACGATTTTGAATTAGCCTAAGCTGCTAGTTATGACGATGTTTAACACCTTTTGTGCCTTTGATTTTGCCTTATTCTGCTGATATTAGCAACAGAGAATATTTCAGCTAACGTTTATTGTTGTCATGACTTATCTTACGTATCTAGGTTTTCGAACGACGAGAACTATTGAAATAAATAATNGCAATGAATATTCACTTAAAAATGAACGTAAAATTTTTAACTACAGCAACTAGTTTTCGTTATTTCATTAATATCAAGTTTGATACATTTTTTACGTATGTAAAATATACTAATTAAGCTTTCTACGATGAACTTTATTGATCATGCGATATAGGATATGAAATTAAACCTTATTACTCATGATATTAGAACTATATGTGAATTTTTTTGGGATAACGCGTAATTGATTGTCAAATAATTTAATCAATTATACTAAACACACAAAAAATTCCCCTGTAATGTAAGAATAAAAAAAATAGCCTGAAAATTTTGAAACAAACTGGAAAGTTAAATTCAGTTACACAGGTAAATTTTCATTCTTTTTTTCGCTTTAAAAGTTAAATTTAAATAATGAAATCACCAATATTATTGGAAATTGAATTCACCTTAAATACTTTCGTACCAAATTCATCATAACGTTGAAAACTTTCTGGTCGCTAAGTAAAGGCTTAGCAAATTCCAAAGCCGACTGGAGGGCGGCCTGCCATTTCTCAGCCTGGCTCCTGATGCGCGTAAGATTGAGGAGCAGAAGACCAGAGTTGAAACCCCGTCCAGCGAAATTGGCCATCTACGATTAGTTATAGAAAAAACTTAGTACTTTATACGGTCTGTTTAAGGAAAAATTAACACTTTCTATGATTTGTTAACAAAAAATCTTGTCACTTTCTACGATCGGTTAGCCAGAATACTTAGCACTTTCTACTATTGGTAAAAAAATAATTTAGCACTTTCTACGAACTGTTAAAAGGAATAACTTAGCGCTTGTTACGATCGGTTAAAGACAAGAATTAACGCTTTCCAACGAATTTGATAATAAATTTAGGATCATTTCTATCATAACTACTTACACACATGAATTTGCTATAGTCAAGAATTTGCTATAACACATGAATTTGCTTAAAGTTGCTATCGCAATTTTAAGGGGTGAGTAGATTTCTAAGATTCTTTTTATACTGATATACATACATCAAAAATACATGAATGATCAACCTTCGCCCTACCTTCGTACGTCAGACAATGATTAGTTTTAATGGATTTAAAATTTTGCGAATATCATTACTTTTAATTTTGCAGGAAACCTAGTGATTATAATATTGTATACAAACCTTTTCAAGCTCGGTGAAAGGTTTGTCACTGAAGATTCTCCACAAAGGCGTTACAGCTCCAAGCAACTGATCATCGTTGAAATTTTTAAATGCTCTCCACAGATCTTCTATCGGTCGCAGGAACACAATGTCCGTATCTAAGTAGATTAATGCGTCTTCCTCAGGGTACATCTTTTCAAAAATTAGTTTGTTAGAGTCGCACATCAGCCTCTTTTTTTCCACAACTTCCAGCGTCGGCTGAGAGGAAACTTTTCTAAACTGAGGGAACGAGAAGCTACATTTCATTATTCAATACAATTATGTCTTTATTTATCATTAAATATCTCACTTTTTTAATACTAAAGGCATTCAGTCAACATATGTTATTAATGTTGTCGATTTATGTGACATACGAGTGTTTAAATGATTCTGATTTTATAATGATATATGCAAGACTTTAAATTCAGCTAAAATAGTCTAAATAGTGTGCACTAAGGCGACTCTCGTCAACCTTTTAAACATTATGCCTTTGCATAGGATAGAGTCTCATATAAAGAATAATTCTACAAGATTATTTCTATGCGAAACAAGATTTTTACTAATGCACTTTCGAAAATGTGCTCAACCGACATATCAATTTATAGCAGGCGTGGGACAACATTCTAAAGCCTATGGGATATAACTGAGGCTGAGCGGGATAGAGTATGGCGCATGTTTTGAGAAAATGATGTTTTAAATGCAAAGTAAATTATAATTATTTTATGTCTAATATAGAATTGCGATATTTTGTCAGAGAATTTGGTTAAAGTTCATCAGAGACTTATTCGAGCGTCTCTGAAAAATACATATTGTCTTGCGATATTAACTGGATTTGAAATATTTGTTAAATCGTAAGGATTCAAGAAGCGTAGGGAGGAGGAACCGGAATAAAAATTTAGTTTTTTATTGCGTGTTCTTTTTTGTCATGATAAGAATAATAAACGAAACTTTTCTTTGAACTTCGAAACTGAAGTTGAATAGGAATTATAAATTAGCAATGAGTTTGAATGGGTGTAACTTTTATAATTACATTCGTTTGTGAATTAACCACGGGAGTCTGAATTAAGAGAATTGGATCTACAGGATTAAATTAAAGGGATTTTGGAAAAGTTTATATTTCATTTTTAAATTATTTTATCGATTACCGGTATCGACTGACTCAGCTGTTAGTTCATTATGAATGAATAATGCTTAATTAATATATTTGATGAATGCATAGTGAGTAATTTACTTCGTATCCGCGTACGGACAATTTTCCAAACCTTAAGAGTTATTTTATTGCGTTGTTGTGGAGGCCAAAACTGCACCATGGAAGTAATTCTTCTGATCACTTCATCAGAATTCACTAGTACATGAAACCTGGAAAATAATTTAAAAACATATGTCATGAGTGTCACATCAACTTACCATTATATAAAATCTTTGATTAGAGCGTCAGTAATTCTGACTTAAAATTATATTATGCTGTATAGAACGTGGTGTGATGGTGAAGTAATTAATAACTTGAGTTAAGAAAGTTATTGGAAGTTAGAAACTAAAAGTGAAGTGTTGAGAAGGCTACAGGAATTTGGGGTGAAACTGCGTAAAGCATGCATAAGGTGCTATGGTTCTCGAGATCGTGAGACCGAGGGTTTGTTTATAGTTTGAAATGGCGAGGATATCAAAGGTCAACGGTGCTGACCTTGTGGAACTCACAACCGTCGCGGCGTCACTTCGAGGGTATAGGCTTAACTGTGCGCTACTGCTGCCTATAAAAGGACCTTAAAATTGGCGCCAACGGTTGGTTCTACGGAGGTGACCGTCACGCAAGCACGGTCTGCAGTCAGCAAACTTTGTAACGGCCGCGGCCGTGAGGCCGGCGGTTTGTCTTTTCGAACATTGACGGTCGCGAGAAACCTAGACTATCGAGGCAGCTATACGAGTCCGGTGAGCACGTCAAGAAAATCAACATCAACACTACGGCTGCGACTCCGCCGAGAGACAATGCGAGAGAGCAAGAGTTGTACAACGATTATAACGCACGTCATCAGAAGATTCAAGTTTTCGAGCTCGGCGCAAGAATTATCATCGGGACGGTCATCAGCATAATACGGTCACAAATTTCATCAGAAGAAGCAGTACGGTCACAGTCATCTTCGACCGCAGTACGGCAACGGACTTGGAGCATTTTGGAACGGACTTGGAAGACGAACACCACTATTCCGAAGTACGGTCATTATAACTCTACGGTTAGACCGGCCACGAGACATCACTAAAGCGCGAGAAATACGGCCATGAAGAAGGAGCAACTTTGAAAGCGGACGCGAGAATACAGCAGCGGTACGGCCGCTGAACCTACGGCCGCAAACGTGTGCGCAAGTTACGGTCGTTTACAACTGTCGTACGGCTCAACGGAACTGCAACGCATCAGCATTTTTCCGGTAACATTAGATGATTTTAATGATGTAATCTGATAGGTTTTGGACTTTTAGTTGTGTTCAGATTACATTTTTCATGTACTAGAGATTATTGTTAACGTAGGATGTGAAACTTGCATTTTCAATTTTATATGAAATGTATCAGTGTTGCATTCCAACCATCTCTTTGTACTATTTTTACCGTAACCTTTTCAAAAGAGAACCTTTTCATCCGTGCCTATCAAGCGCCACTCGACGTCAACCGGACAAAACGATTAGTAATGAATATCTTAAACCTGAACCTGAACGTAACGTAAAATTGGTGGAGTAATCACTCCGAGTGTCCAACTTTAAAATATATGACTTGATAGAAACTACTTTTTTCCTATTCTAATCAGCTTAACATACATTACAACAACATGAATAATTATGATGCTTCCGACTCAAGCCATCTCAATTTAATATATGATACCCCCACATAACATTAAAAATGTTTGTAATTCTCAGTAACCATCGTTTCATATGTAAAAATTATTAGAAATAAGAGATTCTGTTAGTTTCATTTAAAAAAATCGTATGCAAAATATAGTTTCTTTTCAATATTGACTGTTTCAATGGCATTTGATAGAATTTTTTATCTAAAATAGGTTATCGATGTTTAAAACCAAAATTCGTCTCACTTGATGTGCTGCTTCGAAAGAAATACTGTTGATTTCAACAATGACTTGGCGCGATCAATGTGTTGATCGAACGATGAGATTGATCCTCTATCAGGCTTCGTCTCATCGGCTGTAGAAAAATAAACTCGATTCATAAGATAGAACGAAACAAATNATCGTTAAGTGATGGTGATTCAAGTGAAAGTAGTGTTTCTGAAACTGATTACAGCTCTCAAGAGGCAGTGAATGATAAAAATTTGTACTATGACGATAAAATTGAACAGGCCTTGATTGGGTACGCAGCCGTGCACCACTAAATTGGTGCACCAATCAGCCTTGAAAGGAACGCCTAGCATATTTCCGGATGGCTGCGTACCCGGTCTATCACTTCTCTCCATGCTCTAATCTATGTAGACGGCATACCACTGTTCAGTGATTTGCGAAAATTTCTCACATGTCCTATATTGATCAAGTTTGAAGGTATAGGAAAGTTTTTGTCATTGGCATGTAGCCATGTACGTATGAGAAACTACCTCAAAATGCCACCCGTTAATATATTTTTGAAAAAATGTGTAGGTAAATTGATATTACTTGAAATGGAAGGTCTTCAGTGCGCTCACCAGAAAGTGACTGTTACCATAAAAGCAGTAGTTTGTGATGCTCCTGCCCTGCAAGAGCGGAATTGAAAAATACAGTTAGCCCTAACCACAACAGCTATTACAGCTGTGAGCGTTGCATTCAAAAAGGTACTTATTCCCAGGCTGGAGGACACGTCGTACTTGAAAGTACAACATCTCAATTGAGAACAGACACATGTTTCAGAGAGAAAATACATCAAAACCACCATAAGCAATCTTCAGAATCTTCACCATTATTAGATCTGAAACTTTATATGGTACTCAGTCTTCCACTTGATTACATGCATGGTTGTTGTCTGGGAGACTATGAGACGCCTGCTCCATAGAAGGAAGAGCAGCAAGAGAAATGAATTAAAATGTCATCTGGATGTCCACAGCAAAAATGAGTTTGACAATAGGATTGAAAGCTTCGGATCCTGTCTCCCATCAGAATTTTCTAGGAGAATGGTGGGAGGAATGAAAACTTTGTCCTATTGGAAAGCAGTTGAATACCGTGCCTTTCTTATTTATGCAGGAGTGTATGTACTTGGAAATGTTATTCATGATTCCTATTACAACCATTTTCTGGAATTTTGTGTTGCTATGAGAATACTACTAACTCCTAATCAATATGAAAACATGCCTGTTCTCTGTTATTAGGCACATGTTAATTGATTTTGTTGAAGGGAGCAAAACTTTGTGTGGTCCTTGCTTTGTTTCTTTTAATGTCCATAATTTAATTCTTTTGGCTGATGATAATGAGCATTTTGGAGCATTAGACTCAATCTCATGTTTCCCATTTGAAAGCTTTCTAGGTTCTAAAATTAAAGGATGCCTGAATGGTAGAAATCTGGTTTTCAAGCAAATTTCCAAAAGTGTCCTGCAAACTAATTGCTTGATGCCTCCAAAGCCACCAAACAATGAAATTGTGTTTGGTAGGATCAATGCAAAGGCTAAAAACTCAGTGGAAGAAAATTGTTTCAAGTCTGTAAGTTGGGGCCATTTAATGTTCAAATGTTCACCTGTGATGTCTAGAGACAATGGTGTGATCTTAAAGAATGGGGAGATTGGGTTCATTAATAGAATAACTCAGAATGACATCAATGTCTGTACTTTTGGAAGAAAAGATACTGTATTCCAATCCATATGCCTATTGCCTACTGATTCTTTAAATGTTGTCATCTTTAAAGTGTCCAACATGCCAAATGCTAAATGTTTACCAATCAGTAGTATTTTTGGAAAAACAATTCTCCTACCATGTAGAAAAAGTGTATTAGCTCTGAAAATGCTGACCTAAAAACGATTTCTACTTAACTTAGTTCAGATAATAATAATATTTGTAGTTTAGTTTTGACGAATAATAATAGAAATTGAATCCATGATGAACTGTGATAAAAATAAATTGTACTGTGGGGTCTACTTTTATGAAGGCACTTGGCAGGCAGTGCCTCGAATTTGGTTATTTTCAAAAAGTGGAAAAGTTGAGTGCTTCTGGCCACCCAATGGAGATGTGACAGACCAAGCCCAGCGCTCAGCTCATCCAGATTCTGCAACATGTCCATCTTTTCCTGTCAAAGAAATAGCCGAGTATTCAG